CCGTACAAGTACACCGCTCTGGAAAGGGTCCTACCTAGCCGGATAGGCTCATATTACCTTGAGAGAGAGAGAGAGAGAGAGAGAGAGAGAGAGAGAGAGAGAGAGAGAGAGAGAGGGGGGAGACAGAGAACACTTTACTTTGTCGCCCTTGATAGCATCTCCTGCACGGAGGACTTTAATTCAATATGCAAACTGCAACCAGGCCGTAGAAGAGGCTTCGGCCCTTAAGTTCTCATCCCTTCTGCCATGGCTCAGACGAAGGAAAGGTGGGCAAGTAGGCCAGCTGCAGGCAAGGTGCTGCACAATTAACCATGGTGTCAGGCCATGCAGCTCTCTGGAGCAAAGGACCTGGAAAAGGGAACCTTGGAATGAGGATTGGGTCTATTTTAGGATTGACTGTTATTGGGAGAAGTAAGGGGTAGGTTTCTTCGCAAGCACACCATTTGGACATGATGCAGGACATTGCATGACGTGATGGGCAGATTTTAATATTATAGGGCCAGAGAGCGTGTTACAGTGGTTGGGATGCTGAACTAAACAGGTGTGGAACCTGGGTTCCAAATCCCTGCTTCGCCTTGTTGAACCTGCCATCTCTCTCTGTCAGGTTCTCTGCTTGACTTTCCTCACAGGGTCTTGTGGCCATACTCCTGGGAGATGGGGAGTAGAGGAGAACCATCTCTACCGCCTTAAGCTTGTTGGAGGAAAAGTGGGGTAGAAAGAGCAACAAGTACATGAAAAGGCAAGAGGAGGGGGCCTTGGGGCCCAGAGAGCTTTTTCACTGCGTGCCTCAGTTACGGAATCCCCTGCCCAAAGTCCTAGCAATAATAATGCCTTTGATGGTTTTAAAACGGGGATTTCGTAAATGTAAGGGAGGGGACGGGGCGGCCCTCATCCCTTTGCCACAACGTCTGTGAACACCAGCGAACGTGGTTTGTTGGGGAAGAGTCTCCCACTGAATCTATCTGGCCTCTGTGTGGCAGGAGAGGTTTACCTTTTTCTAGGCAAAGAGATGGGAAAAGTTACGTTTTTGGACTACAGTTTCCAGAATCCCCCCAACCACCATGGTCCATGTTCATGCTGGTGGGGAATCTGGAAAGTGAAGTCTCAAAAAATGTGTTTTTTCCTATCTTTAGGGAGGTTGGGTGCCAAACCAGATGCTAGGATCCCTCCTTCGATCCAAGAATGCTCCTCTTCTGTCTATCACATAGCTAGAGCCGATGATAGCTTTGCAGGTCCATTCTCTTGCAGAAACAAACAGTAGAGACTGTGTTTCATATTTTTTTCCTTTTCCTTTTAGTAATCTTTTTATTACAGTTATTATCCACTGGTGCTACATTGTTGCCGTTCCATCCAGACACCTTTTGAAAGCGTAAAGTGTCTACGTGTGCCTTTTATCCAAGTGGACACTTCAGAGTGGCGACAGTAGAGTGGAAACAGGAGGTCTGCTAATCCCACACCTTCTCTAGATAGGACCAACCTTTGGTGGAACACGTCTGGTTCTGCAGTGCATTTCCTGCGGGCAGCCCACCAGCTCCCAGATGGATGAGTGACATCTTGTAGTATGTGGGATCTGTCCCTTTCAGGGTCAAACTTAAACAGTAACTTCTATTCCTTTCCAGCAATGGAGCTTCCCTTAGTTTGTCTGAGCATGTATACTAAAAAGAAAAAGAAAAGCATCATGGTATCTTCTCATGAGAAGAGAAGACTCTCTGGAAAAGACCCTGCTGTTGGGAAGATGTGAAGGCAAGAGGAGAAAGGGGATGACAGAGGATGAGATGGATGGACAGGGTCATCGAAGGGACCAGCATGAATTTGACCCAACTTTGGGAGGCAGCGGAAGACAGGAGGGCCTGGTGTGCTCTGATCCATGGGGTCATGAAGAGTCGGACACGAGTAAACGACTAAACAACAAATCTTCAAAATAAAAGAGAATTATTTCAGTATCAGCCTTTGCAGTCCCATTCCTCAAACACATCATGTCTGAGAAATGTGAAAGTTCACACGTTGAAATAAACTGGTTAGACTTTAAGGTGCCGCTTGACTCTACTGTTTCCATCTTTGGTGTACATCTCTCAGCTTTGTGAATGGGCGTGGCTTCTTTAGAGGTCCAGCTAGAATTGGCTGGGAAAAATTGTTCTGCTTTGTCCAAACTGTGTTACATTCTTCATTTTCTTTGATGTTTTGTTTCCATAGTATTAATTGTGCCATCAAAACAATTCCAACTTATAGTGACCCTTTCCAGGGTTTTCCAGGTAGAAGAAGACTCAGAGGTTTGTTACCATTCCCTTCCTCTAGGGGCAGCCTTGCGACTGCAGCTTGCCCAAGGTTACCCAGGCTGGCTCTTCTCCAGGGAGGCAAAAGGGGGAATCAAACTCCTGACTCCCAGCTCCATAACCCGATGCCTAAACCACTGGTTCTTAACCTTGGGTTACTCAGGAGTTTTGGACTGCAACTCCCAGAAGCCTTCACCACCAGCTGTCCTGACTGGGGTTTCTGGAAAGGGGGAATCAAACTCCCGACTCCCAGCTCCACAACCCGATGCCTAAACCACTTAGTCTAGTTGGTAGCTTTTCACATTTCCCCCCCTCTTACCTTAATTTGTTCAATAAAAACAGACATTCTTCCCCAGCATTGATCTTGATGTGTGTTTCAAAGGAGAGTAAAATTCCCAAAACAGAAAAGGGAAAACAAAACTCTTGGCTTCAAAGCCAAAATAAAAAAAAAATTAAACTATAGCCTTTTGGTTTAAACCGAAAGCCCCCATCCCATTTGGGATTGTTATTGTGAGCTGAGCCAGGCAAAGGATTTGGGTGGTGGTGGGTTGAGAAGCTGATCTGCCAACAGTCCGTCCTCTCAGTAGAACCCATGCCTAGTGCCGGGTCTCCTGCCAAGAAATTCTCAGCATCCTTTCTTTGCCTTCCTCTTCCCCTTTTGGTTCCATTAATGTCCTCACCCTCTGAAATCCACCGTGCCCCCTCCCTGATGTCCTTTTAAAAAAACTCTTTAAAATGTACTTGTTTCAGCAGGCCTTTCAAAATGTGCCAAACTGAGATCTGAGTGTGCTTGCCTTCCATTTAATTGCTGCCCCTTTAATCTTTTGATGATGGTTTACATGTTCTAAATGCTTTAATTTGTTTTATTAATTAATTCAATGTGTTGTTTACTTTATGTTGGCACAGATTACATTACATTATTGTTTTTTGTTCATTCTTTGTTAAACTGCCCAGAGTAACCACAGGGTTAGATGGGCGATATAAAAATCTAATGAATCCATCCGTCCATCCATCAGTCAATCAATAATCAATCAATAATCAAGCAGTCAGTCAATCAATTATTCAGAAAGTCCGTCAGTCAGCCTTCTTCCACATCTCTTTCTAGGATGTCTAGCCTGAGTGTCCCAAACAATCTTGTTTTCTTTCACAGCATATATTTTATGTGTCGTGTGTATGATGACTAGAGTGTGGCGCGATCAAAGTGAATGGTCTGAAATATTCTACACCTAACTTTCCTGTTGTTTTTTTTATCCAACCCAGAGCCTTGCTCAGAATGGCGGATACATAGTTTTTAAACATATATTTATCTTTACATTTTTACATCTTGGATTTTTGCATATTTATTGGTTTTATTGTTTTTAAATTTTGTAATGCCGCCCAGAGTAGACCCAGTCTAGACGGGCGGCGTATAACTATAAATAAATAAATAAATAAATAAATAAATAAGGCACAGTCCTAAATTTATTCCTTTTTAAAATACATATTTTAAATGCATTTCAGTTCATCTTTTTTGAGTCACGAACTGCATCAGACAATTGAGAATGGCCTAAGTCAGTGAATAACTCTTGGGAATACAGTGGGGTCTTGACTTGAGAACTTAATCCGTATTGGAAGTCGGTTCTCAAGTCAAAAAGTTCTCAGGTCAAATCTGCATTTCCCATAGGAATGCATTGAGAACCATTTGATCCGTATCTGCTCTTTTCCGTCCATAGAAACTAATGGGAAGCTGCTATTCTGCCTTTGACCACTAGAGGGGGATATTTTGTTTCTTTGTTTCTTAGGTCAAGAAAGGTTCAGGGAAGGCAGGGAAAATACAGTCCAGGCAGGACAGTACCAGGCAGTCCGAAGACTGTCTCCCAATCCACTCTCTAAACGCTGGGAGGAGTGAGGAAGCAGACAGGCACCCTTTTCACTGGCCAACAGTTAACTGAAAGTTCACATTTTGCACTTTCCCTGCCTCCCACGTGGGTTTTTTTCAGTTCTTAACTCAAATCTAAGTATGTAAGTCAAGTCAATATTTTCCTATGAGAGTGGTTCTTAAGTCAAAATGTTCTTAACTCAAGCCGTTCTTAAGTCAAGACCCCACTGTAGCGTGTTAGCTTGGGAGGTAAAGAGGGCATCCATGACATCGATGTTGGCAAGTCTTTGGGTCTGAAGTCCAAGTCTGAGTCTTTTTGGTACCAAGCCCCAAGTCCAAAACTTTGGTGCCAAGTCCCGAGACCCAAGCCCCACTTCTGAGTCCCTATTAAAAGTAAGCTCCCCCTCCCCAGAAAAAGGGAAGGGTGGGTAGGTTCTGAGTACAGAACAAGTCATTAGGGGGGAAAACCCCAAAAAACCAAGTTGAGTCACCAGTGCAACTGAAGTCAACTTGTCATTTAGTCCTGTGACTCCTGGTCAGCTGGAAATGGAATCCATCAATACCCCACTCCTCGAAAATTTCTGCTCAAAGGGTGTTCCTTACTCTGTGGCCTGCTGGTGCCTCCCATTGACTAAGGGAGGGGAGTTTCTGTTGTCTTTGAGTCTGGCTTGTTCCCAGTTCGGGAGAGGCAGAGTCTGATGTCGAAGAAGCCACTTTTACGGGATCGTCCTTAATTGTTGCATTGAAATGTCATTTTGTTTCTTTGTTTCGACTACTGTTCGGATGCTTAACAAATGCCTTTTCTTAGCTAACGCTCACTGTTTTCCATCTTTCCGCTCCCTCCCCGAACCCTGTGTTTGCATTTTCAGAGCACGGTCATTGTCGAAAAAACGGTCCAGGACCTCATGAACCTGATGCATGATTTAAGCGCTTACTCTGACCAGTTCCTCAACATGGTGTGCGTCAAACTCCAGGAGTACAAGGACACTTGCACCACCGCCTACAGGCAAGACCTACTTGGGGGGTGGGATGCATGGAAGACGTTGTGAATTACTGTCATTACTAATGTGATTTATAACCTGCCCTTCCTTATGACAACCCAGGTCACGTTAAAAGTGCAGTTAAAATCATAAATTACAAATACCCGAAATCACAAAATACAGATTTCTAAGATTGCAGATGTCTGAAACCTGGCCGGGGGGGGGGGAGGAAAAGACAGTAAAAGCAGCAAGGAAAAGGTAAACGGAGCATGTACGTATTCCCTGAACACTTGGTTAATCATTACGCTTTTCTTGCCTAAAAGACCAAAGTGAAGGACAACTTGATCTCTAAGGGATGGGAATTCCAGAACGTGATACGGAAATGAATGTGTTGCCCTTCCCTGTGAATAAAAGCGAAAGCATAGAATCATAGAATAACCGGATTGGAAGGGGCCATCGAGTCAACCCCCTACTCAAGGCAGGAATCCAAATCAAAGCAGATCCTACATGTAGTTACCCAGTTTTCTCTTGAAGGCCTCCAGAGTTGGAGCGCTCACGACCTCCTGAGGTCATGGGCTTCCTTGTCATACTGCTCTAACAGTTAGGAAGTTTCCCTTCATATCCAGCTTAAATCTTTCTGTAACTTCCTGTAACTTCAGCCCACTATTATGTCTCCTGCACTTTGGAACAATCAAAAACAGATCCTGCCCTTCCTCTGTAGGACAGCCTTTCAAGTATTAGAAGTGTGCTATCCTATCTCCCCTCAGTACTCTTTTCTCCAGGCTAAATGTGCCCAGTTATTTCCATCTTTCCTCCAAGGGCTTGATTTCCAGCCCCCTGATCATCCTTGTTGCCCCCCACCTCTGAATTTGTTTCAGTGTGTTGGCATCCTTCTTCAAGTGTGGTGTCCAGAACATTTGGGACTTTCTTGGTTAGAAGAAGAAGGGTATGGTAGTAATCTTTTTATTATGGATAATGTGGATAAGATTGGGTAGTAAAGCCCCCCCTTTCCTCATAATAATAAAACTTATGCAACCAAATTGATTGGCAGTAGGATCAGGGGATGCTTCACAGAGTGTGTAAGTAATTAATTAAACAGGCTGTCACCATAATCAGAGCTGGGGGGGGGGATTGGATGATGACTCACAGAAGTCCCCAGGTGGCGTGGGAGTTGCGTTTTTAAAAAGTAATTTTTCTGTATTCTGTCTGGTGGGGAAAAAAGGCCCGCCACGTGCTTTTCAGTGTCCTTTTCCCAGTTGTCACCAATTTGCCAATTCAGCCTTTTTTGGCATTCCTGTGAGCAGTGGCCATCGTGATCCTCCCAGTCCTGGCTACAGTGCAGGACTAAATAGGGAACGGGAAGAAATGAGGTGTGTGGAGGAAACAGAGCGGGCAGACGAGGGAATTCCCTGTGCCCCGCTGGCCACTTTTCCTCTCTTGCTTCTGGCCTCATTCCACCATCCCTTCCCTACAATCTTTTCCCAAGAGCCGGCACCTGCTGTGAAGTAATTAGGACATCCTTGATTTTGATGACCAGTTGCTGATTACAGAAAGAGGAGATAAAAGAACAGAGAAAGAGTGCAGGGTTTGCTCTGCTAGTTTGCTAGACATAAATAGAAGCCATGTTATTGTTTCCATGTTATGGAAGAACGTAAAGGGAGCAAGAGAGTGCTCTGCTCACTCTGTGTATGTGAAGCAGAGAGAAGGTGGGAAGTAGATCAGGAAGCATCTTTATCCCAAGTTAGATCATTGAGGTAAGTTTGTCAAGAGTTCTCAACCCATTCATCTGAAAACCTGAAACTTTTCGCCTCCAGAAGGCATTCTCCACTAAATTATAGCCAAAGCGAAAGCTTGTGACTTTTGGGGGCTATGCACTCCAGAATACAACCCATCCAGAATGGCCTTCCTATCATTTTTCCACCCATGGTTAGAATCGTACTTCTGCATTAAGCAGCTTTACGTGGCGTCCAGCTAGTACACGTCTCACAAGCCCTGCTAACTTGAGATCCTTCTGGTTAAAGATGACCCTCCAGGTGTTCTTGAGTTTTAGCCTGTCCAGTGATCAGAGCTAACTAGAGTCCATCATCTTCTGAAGTCCACTTGGATGGCTGCAAGTACCGCGCTCATGCTTTAAGTGGAGATCCCAAATGTATGACCCTAGACATGGTGGGTGCATGGCATGTGCTCTATGCAGAGCAAGGGCCATCTTTCTGGAATTTAGGGCACCAGAGCCAAATCGTCCCCTGCTGTCCATCCTGAAGGTCTCAGATTTAGACATTGTGACTTTGAAAATGGAGGATTCAGGTCACTGAACCCTGGAATATTTTTATCCCTAGATGCCTCCATCTCAGTTTGCTCCAGGGACCTCCAGACCTTTCCCCTAACGAAAGGCCCAAGACACATACCTATGCTTGCATGCACAGACACACACATACTCAACATTTTATCCCCAGGATCTATTAGCAGCCAGCCATTTGTATCTTGGAAGCGGCTGAGGTCTGGATCTGCTCCATCACCTCCAGCAGATGTCTTTATGCTCTCAAGGCACCGAGCTGTGCAAGGACCAGGTTTTTCTCGGCAGTGCCCTGTCACCTGTGCTTATGTTCCACCCATCGCTTGCCCCCTCCTGGGAGCCAGATACAACCGAGCGACACAGATGGCTCCATTTGTGGCCCATTGAGCCAAGAACTAATTATGAGATTGTCACGCTGGTGGTAATGATTAACCCTGTTACTGAACGGTCGAGGTGGGATGCGCTGCTCCTTGTGGGGGAATGGATCTTGGCATCACTTTCAGATGTATATATTACTGAAACAGCGACGTCTACATTGGCTTGGGCTGCTGTGAGAATGGCTGATGGTCGGATTCCCAAAGATCTCCTGTATGGAGAATTAGTGCACAGAAATCGCCCCAGAGGGAGACCACAGCTGCGATACAAGGAGATCTGTAAGCGGGATCTGAAGGCCTTAGGAATGGACCTCAACAGGGTTCAGCCTGGAGGGCATCATGGCCTCTCCCAATTTGAAGAGGCCCTGGTCCAGCAGGCTGAGGCAAAGAAGCAGTCCCAAAAGCAGCAAAATCAGGGAGCTGGACGGTGGACAGATTGTATTGGTCTTCATTGTGGAAGGGATTCTCGCTCTCAAATTGGCCTCCTCAGCCACATGAGACACTGTTCCAAGACCTCCATACAGAGCACGTTACCCTAGTCTCTCTGAACTCTCCCATCAGTGATGACTCTTCCAGAGTCAAATGAGCTACTAAATCTCTGCCATCATACCTTTCAAAGTGAAGTGTCTGGCACTTCCCCCCAAGTAATCCCCAGGTCAAGCCATCACTCTTTCCAATTCATACAGTACACGTAGACTGCCATAAAGCAACGTGGTAACCTAGCTGGGTGTACAAGGAGCCACCAGAAGCAAGTGGTATATGGAGCAGGTGGCACCAGCTGGGTGAGAGATGAGCAACCTGGGATCCTCTTCTTTGGGGGACTGATCCTTTATGGACCACTTGCTGACAGCCAACGAAGCACAAGCCATCAGTAGTCAAGGTCAAAGAAGAAAAGACAGTGACCTCTCTTCTCCCTTCCTCTTTCTTCTACATCTTCATAATCTCTCAGCCGTGTTTTTTTTTTTCTACCCCCCACCCACTCACTTCCTCTTCCCTGGCTTGAGGGTGCTAAGGAAGAGGCAGCTCTCTCTCCGGTGGACTGAATGGACCACTTTCAGAGAAATAAAGACAAGGGCCATGTGAGATCAAGCCAGCGGCTGCGTGCAGCTGTGTGAGTCCAGTGTCGCCCACTGGGTGATATCCAGCCATGCCATGACATTTTACATCGATTGCATGCAGCTTAGAAGCATGGATTTCTGGGATTCCATTTCTCTCTCCTTCCCAAGATGGCTAGTGATCCCATTGCTCTGGAGTATGGTCTGCCCCGTTCCCTGTTGTAGTGAAATCCCTTCATTTGCAATCTCAGTTCTTGGAAGGGGAATGTCAGCAACGCCTCCCTCATCTACGTCAGGGAGTGACGACGGTGCTCCTTCTTGTACATTTGCTTTCTGGGAAGGAGAGCAAAATTCAAGGCACTCCAAATGGAAAGAGCTTGTGTGGCACCTTTCACACAGGATCCAAGCAGCAGAGGAAATGCTTCCGCAGTACAGTACCCCACACATTGGAAGAGCACGTTTGTCAATATCTTAACCGCTCGGAGAGGAGCTGAGTGCGCTGGGGCAAAGCAAGAGGTCATTGGTCATTCTGCATCGTTGGTCTTCCAAAGAGATCACCATCGTGGTGCGTGCCTCTCTCCCTGGGGTTGTGAGTAGGGGGGCCTCACAGGGGTGCCCCTCGCCGAGGGCTAGGTGACAGCATCTTGGAGCAGGAAAAAAAAGGAAGAAGGGCCCGGACACAGGAAATGAGTAGGCACTTCCTGCTTGGAGGAGAGAGAGAAAAACATTGGGCACAGTCATCTCCATGCTCATGGAGGGAGTGAAGAGACTCCTAAAGACAAAATACAAAAGTTTTTTTTTGGGGGGGGGAACCAGGGGGAGATGAGAGGCCCCTTGTTCCCCGCAGATTTCACTTGGCCACCTCTGAAGCAGAGAAGTGTTTCGATGAGTCTCTCTACCATTAGAGGCATTTGGAGGGGGGGCTATGTTCCATGACACCAAGACTGGACTCCTAGAGAGGACCCAGCAAGCGGTCCGGGTTATACAACAGACTATCCATGGGTTCGTCCATCAAACTACACAGCTCCAAACAAAGTTGATCACCAGTCTGTGTGGCCTGTTGTATGACCCCTGTAACTGGAGACACAGCTCCTAGGGATGAAGGCAAGCCACCATCCCTTCATATTGGGATGGAATGGCAGCAGGAGTGCTCTGGGGAACATTTATTTATTTGTCATCTTTGTCATGACACAGTGGCTTGCCACAACCCTCCTGTTTTTTTATTTTGGGTTTTTTTTATTTTTTTTGGGGGGGGACCTTGAATTATTTTCCTTCTCCAATTTTAAGGCTGCTTTTTGTGACCATGGAGAGAGTATTGTGAGGGCTTATGCCTAGGGGCTGTGTAGGATAGAACTAACCTACCTCTGAGATGTGAAATTGAGGAGGAAATAGTTGTAATTGTTAGACTGTGAAATAAATGCCCTTGAGAAGTTACAGCCTCATCGCTGTTGTCATTTCAGAGTTGAGTAGTCAACACATACCGGATCATGTAGTCTAGCAGATAAGCCTTCGTTGACAAAGTAAGGGGAGAAATGGCCTAATTCTTATGATGAGCCTTGAGAAAAGAAGACTGAGGGGAGATAGGATAGCATTTTTCAAATACTTGAAAGCTAGTCTTACAGGGGAGGGACAGGATCTGTTCTTGGCAATACAAGAATGCAGGACACATAATAAGGAGCTCAAACTACAGGAAGCCAGATTTTTTTTGCTGAATATCAGGGAGGGAAAAACCTCTTAAGTGTTAGAGCAGTACGACAATGGAAGCAATGACTTCAGGAGGTGGTGAGCGCTCCAGTCCTGGAGGTATTCAAGAGAAAATTGGAACCATCTGTGAGATATACCGTAACTTGGATTTCTGCCTTGAGCAGGGGTTGGACTTGATGTCCTTAGAGGCCCCTTCAACTCAATTCTTCTCTGATTCTCTTCTATCTCACTCTGTTATATCAAAATGCTAGAAGGAAGAACTAGGTTTTCTCCAGTATAAGCTTGAGAGTTATTTGTCATTGAAGGTGGGCTTTACTTTTATCTCCTTTTCAATTTTACATTGGGTCGGCAGAGCCGACACATTGATCGTTGAGGAAGTGGGAAAACACATTGTTCTGAGCGTGGAGGTGAAGGAGACAGAGATTTGGCTCCGAAAACCTGCAGAAGTTTTTGTTTCTTCATTTTAAGGCAAACAGCACCATTTTGCTTTAGGCAGATTAAACTTAATAACTTAATAACTGTGAGCTGGAGA